AGAGGCAAACAAAGAAATATGCGAAACGTACGTGTTGCCACGAATGTAGAAAAATTGCAATAAACTCGTTAACGGTATGCGGTAGGATGCGTATACGCATTGGTGTTTGCCACATTAGTTTAACACACATATGTGCTTACACACACAGACACATATTTGTACGTATGCAAACATCTGAAATGTTCACATATCACAAGGGGTACGTGCCGCAAAGCATTCTCCCCGTGCTTGTCACGTGTTGCTCCGCCTGGCGTATTCCAATTGGTTCGAAAAGTACTCCAAGGTAAACACAATTCTTGCAAGTAAAAGGTTTTTTTTAGTTTCCAATGAGACAATACTTTTTCAGAGTTGGTCCCTTGGACCGCTGTTACTTGATTTATACTCAGTTTGGTTTGTCATTGAACAGACTTACTCCTGTACAACGTTTTCGTCCAATATTCGGTGGACATAATCGTCTGGCAGGGACGGTAAATCGAGCAGCTATAGATCGATATCGCACTGCGTTCACTCTAGATAATAAGATGTCATGTAATCCGCTATTTACTGCTGTAGTGCAGCATATCGAAAAACAACCATTGAAAGAATCTATACACCATCGTGCCCGCCACAATTGGTACTGTGCTCATCCACTTTATAGTGGAGTTTGCGGAAGGATCTAGGTTTGCGGGCTTATATAATCCAACTCGTGCAAGTATTGAAGCCGACCGACTATGAAGCACGGCCCACATACGGCGAATGGTTCCAAGAAGAGAAGTCCACCGACCCCGATTTGCACAAGAAAATTTTATTCAGCGTTGAAGCCCACCTTCGGTTGACTGTATTGACGTTGATAGACCGAAAATTCTCGCAGTCTCCACAGGATATTATTGAGACACCTTTGCAACCTCAAATAGTGAGTGGGCAGAGAGCATCACTAAACCATATTTCTTCAAAAATGTAGCCGAGCATAATGTGCTAGTCAATAGGGAACGCTATATAGCCATGGTTAATAAATTTTTCTTGCCTGAATTGGAAGATGTTGATGTGGAGACCTTTGATGCCGACAAGAAAGTCCTACATGCCGTGCAGCCAAGGAAATAATCAATTGAAATATCGAATTAAACTTTTGATGAACACATAACACTGCGTCGTGGTCCTGGGGCGTGACCTGTAAGGCCGGCTTAGCGGCTTAGCATGGTTGGACTATTGTAGGGTTATGTGAAGTCGCTTACTAAGCAGATGATAGACGTCTTGGAAGATGATAGACATCTTGGAAGATAATACACGTCTTGGAAGAGAATATTCTGCGCGTTATGGCTGACTTACGGAGTCAGTTTCTTCAAAAAGAGGTCGAAAATTGGCTCTCTCATCGAGCATTTATTCGTGCCAACTAACTGCTTAAGACAAGAACATTGTAATTTGAATACCTTTTTGTTTATTCTTCTAAGTTGGTCCACTACTGCTTGACAATGGAGCACTTTGTAAGTACTCCCATATATTATAAATGAACCAAATGTATGAATAGTTTTGCCTCGCTGCTGTCAAAAGCGGTAAAGGCTCAAAACACGAATCAAACCGGGCGTAAAGGCGTGACCCAATTTGCCAAACCCTGCATATATCATAATACACACATACGTACATATCTATAGTTGCACTTTTTGTGTTTTTGTAGACATTCACATGCAGGTGCGTATGAATTTCACTCGAACCACACATTCCTACTTTTCAAACACTTTTCAAACAGGAGGTTATATAATTCCGAAAGAATATTCATTTTGAACTCACTTTGGAAACTTTATCAAACCATAAATGTAAACTTTGTAAACGCTGAAGTGATCTTCAGTCGAGCTCCTCTCCCGTGCATCTTTACTGTATTTCCAACAAATGGACGGAGCTACAGCTCATACTAAGCTGCCTCCGAGCGGCTGATGACTCTTATGAGGAGCCTTTATTTCAAGTCAGAAATACATATGGAGGAGTGGACATTCCCTGCCGAGGGACGACCGCAATTAGAAATATAAAATTAATTCAAATTATATTTCTTTAATTTTTATTTGTTGGTCTGATCAGAACTCTAACCCCGGCCTTGCAATTGGCAGTCAACCTTGAAATTCAATGCAGTATTACTCTTCCCAGCAGGTGCCACCTAGGACTGAGTAGGTAATTGAAAAGTAAAATCTTCTCTGGACGAACAAAGACAAAACTCTACAAGTAAGTGGCAAGGCATGGACGATAACAACATCTGATGAATCGGGAGTTTTTGATAAAACGGTTTTGTAGAAGAGATTCATGCCTTTGCGCAGTAATAGCGACAAATATTGCAAGGTATGGCGGCATTACATAGTTCAGGTGATGAAGAGATAGGGGATACGCTTGCAGATTCGCAAGCTCAATGCAATATCCGCGGGTGGAAGGAGAGGGAGAGCAAGACCTTAGTTGACAAAGTCAGGCGAAGAAGTACTGGGCTTCACTAGCATGTCCCATTACCTCCGAAGGGCTAAGAGAAGATATTAACACTGGTTTTAATTCGGCTATGATCACGTAGTTGGTGCCATGCGCTGATAAAGAGGAAGAAGAAGAATCGCTTTCTTACCAAGCTTTTCCATCAATCTAGATTTAGAGCAGGTAGGAGATTTTCATAAAAAGCTAAAAGCTAAAGCTAAGTTCAGTAGCAATATTCGGGTATAAACATATGTACAAAAAAATTTTTTTTTTGCTTTAAAAAATTTACATATTATCCTGAAAAAGGGTTTTATTTCATTTGCATGTCTTCTCACACACTTTTTCAATATTTCTTAACCATATTCTGGTAGACAGATAGACATGCAAATACGCATGCATCGTTCGTACCCTGTAGGGAAAACTCAGGGAAGAAGGTTTTTAACTAAGCTGGTCCGCTGAACCACAAAACTTGTGTCTTTTCATTATTTCAGACACCTTTCTTTCGCGCTTCACCTTCACTTTTCATGCATACATTGCGCCGAGTGCTCGCGTAGGCTATCTATCCCTGCGGATTTGGGGTCCAGGAGTTTACCCGCAGTAAGGCATGCCTGCCATAAATATATAGGAAAGTATTTATGTTGAGTCATCGGGTTATAAAAATCACTTGAAGACTTTTGCAGCAGAAATAAAAATTCGCAGATTCTAGTGCGCAGCTCTTCCTAAAGGGTACAAAAAACCTCACATTTGCACCATATGTTTACGTATTAGTTTCCACTTTTCCTTTTTTGATTTCATATTGAATGCACCGCACGTTGCTGCGACTTTGAAATTTCTTCATTTAGCATGGAGATGGAGAAAAAAATTGGTTTACCTTAAATTGAAAAACTTGTCGCTTTGACGGCCGCTCTCTCGGTTGCATGTCATTTACGCTCGGTTCCATTTTAGTCCTTTGCTGCTTGAATTGTATTGCATGTTTGTGTGTATATACTTATTTAGACCAATGTGACATTGGAATTTGAAATGAGACTCTCAAATTAAGTACACGTTTCGAGGAATATGTATGAAATCATGCAAACATAAGACATTACAAGATGGCGCCCTTGTCTTTATTGGCGAGAACCTCTACCAGTGAGATAAATTCTTTTCCATTTAATTCCTTCACCATAGACAGGAACAGATGGTTATCACTTGGTGCAACTGTAAGGTGGATGCATAAAAGACTACTCAGTAATTGATGGATTTTGTTACGATTGGCAGATGGAAATTCGGTCCTTGAGGTTTTTCCACGTCATACACGTCACGTCGTACATCGAGCGTTTTTGTGCATCCAGCCTTTTTCAAGTGGTTCCAAACTGTTTATGTGCGATGATTACCTCCTGGGCAATCGAAACAGTGCTCACATGACGATCAGACTAGACAATTTACATCAAACTTACCCGAACGAACGCGACGAAAGGCGAGATACAGATCACTAAAGACATTTATTACTAAAATAATGGATTACTTTTTACTACATCTAATATATATACATATATATATTTAATTCGCAGTCTATATGTATATAAAAATTTGTTTGTTGTATTCTTATAAACAAAAATATTTATATAAATATGTATGTATATCTTTAGGTCATCGGACATTTGTGAACTAAAAAATAATAAAATATCAAGTTTTGAAATTAAACTTTGCCCATCAATTTCAATAATTAATGTGAAATGACAAGCAACAACAATTATTTAAAAACTCCGATTCACATGTCATAGAAAATTTAATTCATTTTCTAATATTTAACATTCAATAGTCGCCATTGTAAATCTCGTTTCGCTTGTTGCCTATAAAAGCCTGAAAGTATGCTTCAAAATACAAAGGATAACACAGCGTCACAAAACTCTTTCAGTGCAATAGTGGATAATAAAATTTGGAGCATTATAATTATAGGAAATAAAAAATTAATACTTTTTATCAGCGACAGTACCCATTATGAGTTGTATTTAGAAAAAATCGTATTTCAAAAATATTATTTTGTTATATTCAGTTTTATTGTATTATACAGAAATTCATATTTTAAGTTCGGGGTAACAGAAATAATATAATTCGGCTTTTCATTTTTTATTCGAAGATAATAATACTACAATTTTTTTTTTAACTTTTCTTATTTCCATTTTTCCTGTATAACGATGATGTTACAGGTGAAAAAAAATCCGTTGCTACAACATATTTAGTGACAGTGCTGGCAGGTTAATGAAAACCCATTATAACTCAAAACATGGCTCTACTAATCATGAATATTGTACATTGATGCGCATTCCGAAACTTACATTACTCCAGTACCCGCCCGGTTTTTCCAATGTAACCCATATAAAACTCGAAACGTAATTAAATTAAATAAATATTTTACGCAAGCTGACAAATATTATTTTACTATGGACACCTAACGCTAATGTAAATATACATGGAATAAATTACCTGAATCAGGGATAAGGTTTGTGAATCCAAAATGGCTACATATATTTTAAATTGCATATACATTAGAAAATTCAAAAATTAACCGTCCTAAAAGCGTAGAAAAAACGGGTATACAGAGTTTGTATATTATATAACATATGCTAAAAAATTAATGACACCCTAATCTAATGCAATAAGATATTAAACCAATTTCATACTATGCCACTATATTAGAAAATTTTACTTTGTTAGCGTATAAGCTCTTCTACAATTTTATTGCACTTGCTTTGGTAATTCAGTTAAGTTTATTTTTTTTATGAATGTATAAAAAGAGGGCACAGCAACAACGCTTTATATTTTGTACTTAGTTAGGCTTCTGCTTATAAATAACACCTGTTAGCTCGCCATCTTTTTTAATGATGCATCGCCTGTGAAGAGAAAATTATTATAAATTTGTCATACCATATTTCTAATGGATGCATACATATACATATAAATATCTACGTTCAAATTTTTTCTACTCACTTATTTTCACTGTACATATAAATAACAGGCGGATTCAAATTTGGCTCCAGCTTACATGCCTGCTCCGAAATAGCCATGGCAATGCCGGACATATTGGGATTAATTTGCCCTTTTGCTAAATGTAGACAAAAAAAAGTAAAAAAGTAAACTAGGGAAGTAAAATTCGAAATTTAAGTAATAAAATTTATAGTCTTACCTCCCAAGCAGAGACCTTGACGATTGGCCAACAAAACTCCTACGGTTTCAGGTTGGGAAGCGCTATATTAAAATCAAAAGAATATTAATCGACTCTTCTTAACCATTTTTAACTTATACTCACAAATCATTAAGCACTTTCTCTAATGGCTGTTCCATTTCTTTATTTAATTTTTGGCAATTCTAAACTATATCCTGAGAAAATCGTAAACAAAGTGCAATTTTTTCAATCAGCTGTATTTTGATGGCGTCAAAACTGTCGATGAAATTAGAGTGATCGAATGATATCGATAACATGCTTTGCAAAATCATCAGCACTGTTCGGTGCGCGGATGGGCAATAACAATTGTAACTAATTTTTAATGAACCGCGCGTTCGGTGGCACAAAAAGCTAGTTAAATTTGTGCCAAGAGAGTCCAATTTTGACATTTTTTACTGGCGAATTCTTACTGGCATTTTCCGTTACTAGGCGATTGCAGGAGTAAAAAACTCAGTAATGACAATAATCAAACTTTTAAGGGAAAATGCCAAGGCACCGTATAAATTACAACCCATCATCCATTTGTTAGTAAATTCAGAAACTTGTCTTCTTTAAACCTGTTTTTCTTTTAAAACACCCTTTAATCATACATATTTAATTTTCGAACTTCAGTAGACTTTTTGGCAATAAATTACCTCAAAAATTAAAGAAAACACTTGGTTACATAGTCTAGATATTTATTTATGAATATTACCGCATTATAAATCATTGCAATCAATGCGATTATTATATGTATACATAGTGTTTGGGCAACAAACATTTCTTATTTATTATGAAAAATCAAATATATATAAAATTAAATCATATGTTTGGAATTACAGTATACTGCTAGTTTAAGTCAGTAGACTTTTTGGCAATAAATTACCTCAAAAATTAAAGAAAACACTTGGTTACATAGTCTAGATATTTATTTATGAATATTACCGCATTATAAATCATTGCAATCAATGCGATTATTATATGTATACATAGTGTTTGGGCAACAAACATTTCTTATTTATTATGAAAAATCAAATATATATAAAATTAAATCATATGTTTGGAATTACAGTATACTGCTAGTTTAATGAATAACAAAATAAAATACCAAGCTCTTTCCAATGTACAGTTTAGAACTTTTTCTTTCGCCTAACTATCGATGTTTATTTTCAGCGGAACACTGAAGTTGTGTATGAACCGGAAACGCAAACAGCAGACAGAAGTAATTAATGAATTTTTTTCATGTTGTATAATAATTTTTAAAGTAGTCGTTAAACGCAATTTACATTATTTATGTGAAGAGTGTATATGTTTACTCCTATTAATATTACTTCTAGCAATGTTAAAACTTTATACAATTTCGTATTTTTCAACAAACAGCATAGTTTCGCTAGAATATTTAACGGCACTGTCATCGTCAACAAGAACAACATCAGTGGCACTTAAAGCAGCGTAAGGTGTTTTCGATACGAAGGAAACCTTGTAAAAATATTATTTTTAGTTGAACTACTTATCCACCGTATCAATAATATATGGTATCTACCTGTAATGGAAAGAAATCGCCTGGAATTGATGAATTGCAGCTAAACTCCATTGAACCAGATTTATTGTTTCCGTCAATAATGGGTATATTCCATTGTAATATATGCTTACGTGCATCATAATTATAAGTGCCATCATATTCAGCCACAGATGGTTGTATATTCATACTGCATGTACAAAAATTAAGTAATTAAAAGAAAAGGCAAAGAAAATACAATATTATCACTTACGGCAGTGGTATAGCTATAGACACATCCTGCAATTCTAAATGTTGTGCTTCCAATTCGTATTCGATATTTACATCACAGCCACCTTCGCCGTTTTCAGATGGCCAGCAATTAACTACAAAGATAAAAAAGATAAAAAATATTTATATATTTACTATAAATTCGAAATTGTTTTGCAATATTATTACTTGTCAACGGTATGGCAGATTCATCTTGGGTTATAAAACGCCATTTTAATACACCAACATCGGTGTTCAACGGGAATGGTTTAGCTGGATTTTTGAGTCCAATTACTGAGCGCGTCTTAAATAGTTCTTTATCAACATTAGGATGTGTTTGCAATTGTATACCATGGCTGTCATTGTTGCGCAAGTGAACTTTGATGCGCCCGAAGTTCTCATCGGAAATACGCAACGTCAATAAACCGGAGAGCTCAAATTGTTGCAAACCACCATCACGACCAAGGCGGACCGTGAGTTTATCTTCCATTTTGAGATGCACGCTATAAAGTGTTTGAACATATGAAAGCGTTACAATTTATTTGTTGTTAAGGAAATATTTTTTATATTTCTTCATACCTTTCTGTATGCACATCAGAAGCAATTTTAGTTTTTGCTACAGCTGCGCTGCTTTGGGCACTTGCCGGTGTCAAACTAGAAATCTTCTCACCTTCGCTCTTTAATTGATCAACAAAACTATCAACATCTTTGGTTTTTCCACCTAATTTCAAAGCATTTCGTGCTGCTGGTTTTCTACAATATAAATGTAAAATTGTCAGATAATGGTTTCAGAAAATAAATTTTAACTTACTGAGTTTTTTGAACTGTTGGTTTCAAGTCAGATTCAATTGATGGTGTACTGCTCACTGAACTTGAGCTAATACCAAAAGCGTCTAAGCCAGAAATGCCGCTGCCATGAGTAGTCCTTCCACCCAAAGAAGAACTGCCACCCCTTTTTGCGGCTTCCAAACGCTGACGTTGCAGCTCCTTAGCCTTTTCACGCATTTTTTGATGTGCCTCACGTTCTTGAGTTTGACGTACAGCTTGATAAACTTTTTCTTCGTGTGAATCCATTTCAGTAAATGTTTTGATTTGTTTTAAATTAACACTCTCGCGATATCCAAGTGCGACGATTTCATCGAAAGCAAAAATTAAGTTGAATGCATTTTCAAGAATTTCTTTTTCATCTAAAGTATGACAGTATTCGGGTATCTTTAAGAAAAACACTTTTAAAGCTGTGCACACATTAGAAGGTCGAGTATGCTTACCACTTTAGAGAATAAGCGAAGTGTTTCCAAATCTTCTAAAATGTTACTAGCCTTTGTGGTAATTAATAACATATATAATCGTTCCATTGGTTGATATACATATCTCACTGATTCGGTCTCTACATATGTGTGCTGCTTTCCGGTGGTCATCAACTTGGGAAAGGCGGCAAGAAGTCCCTCAATACGTGCTTTAGTCATCTCTACAAACTGTCGTGATATAATCACTGCATATTGGGAATAATAGTTAATTACTATATATCATAGAAATATAAGTGTACTTGTATGCATACCTTTGCCATTCTTTGTACACACCGCCGCAGCTATCAAAACCTGTATAGATCACAGAGAAAATATTGTAATAAACCAGAATATGATCACACTACATGTTTCTTCACCCTTACCATTTTGTTAAATATTTATTTCAAGCTTTAAAGACAATTTTACAGATATTAAATTAAATTGCACACGATATTTCCCAAAATTTTTACAAAATTTTACTCCTATCGTAGCTGACGTGTTAGATTAATGTACAATGAAAATGTCAAATTCTTGTCAACTAAAGGCTTATTGGAATAGCCTTTTCGTTATCGATATCTTATGAGAAACGATAAGTCACTCTTATTCAAGTAAACAGTGCGGTAAATATGTAGGTATATATAAGCTAGAAACTACAAAGCGCTTACTTGGTTAAGTATAGAACTCGAAAGAGACAACGTTAGGGCAATGTTAAGAGTAGTAAGTTATGTGCTCACCGATGAATAAATTGTTTTCTTAAGGAGTGTTCAATCAAAGCTTATGAACCAAAAAAAAAAATTAAACTTAAAATCGAATAAATGTGTTTATCTTAAGATTGAAACTATTATATCTTGTCCGGATCGACATAAAAAAATCGCAACCGAGTTTTGTAAATTGTGGGTTTAAGTGATTTCGCTTACATATCTAAAAAATTTTATTTGTATTAATATTTGGATACTAAAGAGAACATTTGAATTGAGTAAACAAAACTCGATTTCACAGAATTCGGCAAGAAAAACAAACTAATGAAAGCCCTGCCATTAAGAAAGGATCGCTGGCAGTATTCCTCGATTTTCCAAATTTTGATTATAATAACTAGGCAGCATGTACAACTTGAATGAAAAATCGAAAAACTAAATGATTCTTTATATTGGTTAAATTGCATGAACTTTCAGGAACAAAAAGTTTGGCTTTACTAATAGCAACAAACAAATGTAAATCTGCACATTTTAATCAGGCGTGAACGCAGCAGGGAGCTTTGGGGATTTTCAGATAAAAACCAACGTAATAAAAGTGGATTAATTAACAAATTCTTGAACTTGCGAATTCAATACATTATCTTGAAAGTTTTGAAAGCTTGCACTCAAGACTTTAGACTTCTCTTCAAGTGAATCGTATAATTTGTGATGATTAAAAAATTTAAAAAGATATTGAAAGCTGTTCAACCCAAACGAAGGGAAAATTCTGGTTCAGCCAGTCATAATTACCGATGTTTTGTATTTTATTTTATTTTATTTTTTTTTTGCCGGTGTAATTAATTGGATATTTGGAGGCAAGCTCGATATCGCTTTAATGCAGTCTGAATAAAAACCCTTGTTTCGAATAACATTGTAGTTGCTCAGATTGTAAATAATGTTGGCAGCTCGTGTAGAGTAAAAGTACAAAAATTGCAGACCTGCGGCTGCATTTATTTATAAATAACATGCAACCCTACGCGTTTTGACAGTTGAAATATTTGATTTGGCGCAATTGCAAAAAAAAGGAAAAGAAAAAATATAACTACAGAAAGTAAGAAAACGCAAACTCGTTTAAATTTGTGTCCATAAATCTATCCATCTCCATCCTCCATGAGTTTTGACGACACAATAAATGCATATTTCGTTACAACTGAAAGTACGGAAGGACGCAACTCCACAAAATGTAAGGAATTGGAAGCTGCCTTTAACGAACTTCGAAGTCATATTGCTGAAGAAAATATCAGGCTCATTAAGGCCAATGAGGGATATCCACTGATAGCTTCAGGACAGCTTACGAAAAAAGATGTATTCATATTTGATCAGTTCGACGGGGACTTTTTCAAACAGCTACAACTAACAAAATCGCTTATCATAGGACCTCGATGTTTAATGTCATGCTTGAAGAAATCCTTGCCTGTTCCACTTGGCACAAGCCCTATATATACAACCGCTATGCGTGATTTACATATATGTGCCACAGGGATAGCAGCCGATCAAAAGGAGCAGATGCGTACTTATATACATTGGATGGGCGGCTATTACTTTCAGAACCTTAGCCGTCCTGTTACACATCTAATTTCGAACACAATTAAATCAACGAAATACGAACATGCAACAATAAACGGCATACCTGTAATGCATGTTGATTGGGTCCAGCGGGTCTGGGAACGCAGCTGCGTAGAGGACGTCGCAGCAACAGATGAGGAATTTGAAAAGTATAAGTTGCCGATATTCTTTGGAACAAACATAACATGTACAGGACTGGAAACTGATAAGAAAAACGAGGTGTGTATAATTATGGAAATCTATTATCTACTTCACTAATAAATACTTTCAGATAATGCGTTTAGTAAATGAGAATGGCGGCACCTACCACTGTGCTTTTCGTTCAGCTCTGGTGGATATAGTTATAACCGAACGTGGAAATACTAATTCAGATAAATACAAAGCCGCTGTACGATACAAAAAGGATATATTATGTCCTGAATGGATATTTGATAGTGCAGAAAAAGGTTTCGCATTACCTACTAAGGGTTATCAGGTTAAATCGTTGAAGGTTTCAACTCCAATCAAAGGTGATCGCAGTATAGCAGACTTTACCCAACTCTCCGATACATCGCGTATAAGCGTAATGGGGGGATCCGGACGAAATGGACGAAGTGATTTTACAACAATCAACGACACCGTAAGCAGCGGTCTAAACGAAACAGCTGTACAACAAAAAGATGGGACTTTTGTCGCACCTATTCCACGTACAGGCAATTCGAAGGATTTACAAAAAGAAGTGCATAGAAAAAACGCTGTTGCCGACCATTACCGTTTAGTCTATGAAGAGATTTGCCCAAAGCAAGCCAAAAAAGCTGGAAATTTTTTAGATGGTTGTTGCATTTATTTGAGCGGATTTAGATTGGAAGAAAAGGAGAAATTGAACAGAATTTTGAATGTAGGCGGTGCGACACGTTATGATGTTGTGAATGAAAAAATTACTCACATCATTGTGGGACAACTAGATGACTTTGAGTTGCGCACCTGGAAACGAGATGGCATTTTAACATGTAAGTTTAGTTGGTTATATAAAATCTTATTAAACGTATTAGTATATTAATGACGTAAAATTATTATTTTAGCGGTAAATATTGTTCGACTCGATTGGTTGCTTCAAAGCATTAAGCTTAAACAACCTGCCAGTGAAGTTGTCTATCGCATGTCACTTCCGACTGCACGTGAACCTGATGCACCATCACCGTCTAGTAAGAAAACTTTACGGTCTATGAATCACAGCTTCAAACAACCGGACAAGCCGAAAAAGAAACTTTTCGAATCAAATGAAAAGTCGCCTAATCCACCTATTGTGCCTACAACGTCTACCGATTTGCCATTTGAAGAAGAAGAGCAGAATCTAATCGCTCAGTACTCGCAGGAAAATGAACCCGTCGGAGTAGTGCCACCAAACCCAGTTGGTGAAACAACAACAAGCCAGGCACTAACGGATCAAACTTTATCAGCTCCGGTGGCTTCGTCCACGCTCAAACCCATGGTTAACAGTGTGCCTCAGCCAGTGGCAAATAATTCAACGGAGAATGAAAATTCTACCAAGATGACTAGTGAAATAGATTTTGAAAACTTAGACTTCTTTGATAGCAAGTCTCTCTATATCGATCGTTCTCATTTTCCAGAAGAGTTCTACTCTCAAATGATAAGCGAATGTGAAGCTGCACATGGAGATATTGTGCCGGCTAACTTTGTAGATATTGTGGACTATGCAATTGTATCGTTTGAGCGTACGCTAGATGTCGAAGATTTGCCGGTTAAGGCGCGACACATCGTCACGGATTTGTATGTGGTAAGCGCAAATTGTTCAAAGTCTTTAACAAAATATATGAATTTAATTTCTTTTAAGGAAAACTGCATGAAACAAAATAAATTAGTGCCGATTGAATACTTTCACCGTCATGTACCACACACGGCTAGCACACAACCGCTCGAAGGCATGACTATTGTTATTTCAATATATACTGCTTTGGAATACGATTACATAGATTCCGTAGCACAATTATTGGGTGCATCGGTAAATCGTATACTTGCTAAAAAGGAGCGACCACTTTTGATTTGTCCGCGGCCGGAAGGATCTAAGTATGAGGGCGCTATTAAGTGGGGCTACCCTGTAGTGACATCGGCATGGCTAGTGCAGTGCGCAGTAGAAGGGCAGAAGGTGTCGTTTCAACCATACTTGGTGGGCAATAGTCCAGCAGATTTTCCTGTATCACCAACTCTACGAGAGAAAAACTTACCAAATCAAATGGCTCGTGCAACTATAACACCTGCTGTAGAACCAATGGAAACACAAGAAAATGCGGAGAATGATGTAATAATTTGTAACATTCATACCATAGAGTATTTTTTATTCGATGTCATTTGTTTTTACTTTATTTTAGCAGCAATATCAAAACGCAAACGCAGCAACTGATTTCACACCGCTGCGAAATAAACGAGTTACCGAACTGGCTGGTTCCTTCTCACGTAGTTCCCGACCGTCCCTATCCAATGTTCCCAATAGTAACACCACAATTACACCGGACTCGCCGCATACACCCACAAACATATATGGCCGGCCTTCGTGCAATTTCGAGTACTTGGAGGGTGTTGTCTCTGAACTAGATGACGAAGATGCACGAGCCTGTTTACGAGAACTCATTGAAGAGATGCGCAATAATCAAACGCCGGAGTTGGAACGTATACGCCGTCAAGCATGCACGCCCATAAATCGAAAATTGCCCACACCAAAAGGTATACCCGATTTCTGTACGACGCCTGAATTTCAAAAACGTATGGCCGATGCATTTGAACGGCGCTGGCGTTTACCAACGAAGAAGCTAAAGGTCGACACACCAATCGATGAGTTGCGTAAACGTGTCTTACGTTCCACATGTGAGGCTTTAGGTATACCATACAGTGATACTGAAGACACACCAACAACTAGTGCTAAAGCAGCTAAAAAAGCTTTGGCTGCTACAGCAGAAATGTCAGCGTTAGCAGCAAAATCGTCAAACACACCGTTAAATTCAAGAAACAAAACTTCGAAAGAATCATTGAATGGTTCACAGCATGAGCAGCAGGTGCTGGTGCCACGTGCTATCTTCGCCACCAGCATGAACAACAGTCTTAATGTGAGCGAACCACACAAGCCTCGTATATCAGATGCAGATGCTTTCGTACCAAGCACACAAACACCCACTAGAAGCGGTAGTTTAGGTGGAGAAGAATCGCGTATGGTACAACAGGCTTGCTTTGGCAAAACAACTTTGGATTTTGATAAAATCAGTTTCGAAAACACTGAAGCTGACACATTAGCTAATGTTGTTACCCATCAAAGTGCTACGCGTTCCACAGCCTCTTTAGCAACATCATCGCCAGAGCTTCAAAAGATCACTGAATATCTGAAGAATTGCGAATCTCGTAGACAGAGTCTAAAGCAATCTCGTCGAACAGCCGGTTCTGGTGGTACAACGGAGAGTGGCGCTTCAGTTAGTGCTGATACTATGGTTGATGACATAGATACTGGTGTGGCGCCTTGTGGTGTCCCTGAGACAGAAACACAACATTATGTGCAACCATTTGAATCGGAGCAATTCGGTTTAGGCACCGAAAATATGGTTGGCTGGCGTGATCCTGGGGAATTTGGTAAGGAGAGACGTTCGAAAGCGTCGCCCAGTATGCAACATAAAGGTATACCACGCTTTAGTATTTCATGCGTCGACGAAGAAATGCGCAATGACATAATCATCAAGATACATAAACTCGGAGGAACGGTATATTTTTGCAGTAAAACAAATTTAAAAATTCATTTCAACAATATTACTTTCAGGTATCTGAGAATCTCGTCAACTATGATCCAGAATGCACACATTTCATTTGTGAACGTCCAAATCGTGGTGAAAAAATGCTTGGCTGCGTCTCCTCAGGCAAATGGGTGCTCAGCCTGAAATATATTGAAGAGTGTTATGCAAAGGATGTCTTCGTAGACGAGGAACTCTATGAATGGGGCAATAGTAAGGCGTTGAATTTGCCACAACTAACACCAGACGAGCAACTATTGGCTTTGGCGGTGCATCGTTGGCGTAAGAAACTCAATAATGTCACATCTACAGATGGAAAAAAGTTGGGTGCATTCAGTGGCTTTCGTGTTATCCTACACATTGCCGAACGCAACTCGGAGGCGGTGAAGAATGTATTACGCGCCGGTTACGGCGAAGTTTTGTCCGTGCAGTCGCCGTTTAGCGCATGCAGTGCGTCAAGAAATGCTACACATTGCTTCGTAGACATTAAGAAAGCGCCACTAATACGCGCTGATTATGATTATCTCCGCACGCTTGGTGTGCAAATTTACTCGCAAATGTACATTAATTCATATTTAATGTATGGTGAAGATGTAGATGCAGCTAAGTATGAAATAAAAGTTTTGTAGACTGACTGAGAAAAGTTGTTGTAGAGTCTAGAATCGATCTACAAGCATAATGGTTCTTATGTTATGGGTAATACACGCGATTCGATCTTTTTTTGGTGTTAAATTGTTAAAATTTTCAAAAATTTAAATTAACGTTGAATTATGTAATTAATTGATTTAAAGTATTTACAATAAATTTATTAGAATTTAAATAAAACTCTATGCCGGCCGCTATAACATCTCACACACGGTTTTTGCATTTTAACTTTCAATATTTACCCAAATGTTTAATACTTCCACCAGCAAAATTAAATAAAGAGTCAGTATCCAGCTGGCAGCACTTTGGTGAAAAAGCAGGGAAGAGTGTGGGCGGGATATCATAAACCATAGGCACCTCTCTAAGTCGCCTGTCCATCATTTACGAAGTGAGATGATTGAATGTATGCGACAGGCGGTGAAACGAAGTGGTGTCAAGCTAGCTAAAGCGTCCTTCTTCCGTAGAGCTAGTCTAGTATAGTTCAACAGACAAAGTAATCTGATGAATATAAAGGAAACCTTACTTTTGGCTTAATCGAGGTTTTTAGCAGTTCAACTGTACGAACAGGTGCGTTACAAAACTCGTCCGCTATGTACTTGCGTGAGAAGCGGCAGATTTATAAATATGTCAGTTCGATCCGGTCCTCATATCAGGAAACCTAATTTGACTATTCGAAAACTGGTAAATCATCGTAACCGAACTAAACAGCAGGAGCATTGACAGTTCTGCAATGTTTTCTCTTGTGAAATCCAGTTTTGGGCCATGTCAAAAAGGCAAGATATGATAGCCAGTAGAAATTGTTCCACTGCTGAAATCAAAGAAATCGGAATAAATAAAAGAGCCACATATATCGTCCGATATCTCGTCTTTACATAGTAATGGAGACCCATATCTGTCCTGCACGACATCTGCAACTATTGCCAGCGAAGTTCACTGCGACTCTCCACTCCAGTTGGTCAAAAGAGCATCATCACGAACTCGCTGTGCAAATCGATGGCGTAAGAATTCCGACTACAAGCAACCCGAAGTTATTGGGAGTCGAATTCGACAGTCAGTACTCTTTCACTCCGCATACGACTGCAATTTCCACAAAACTCCAGAGCAGCAACAAAATCCTTAATGCAAGGAAACGTTGAAGGCAACCTACAAAGCAATTGGCCGCCCGGTCGTTAACTATGCTACACTGATCTGGGCGCTGGGGACTAGCGAGACACAGTTGAAGAAGCTACAAGCCTGCCAAAATACCACCCTGGGAACCGTGACAGGAAGTCTTCCAGTGTCGTCAGGGCATCATTTTCACAGCGAAGCATCTATGCTACGTTTTCATGAGCAAATTCTGGTGGAATGCTTTCGTAGCCAACACTAGAACAGACATTTAGGCCTTGACACAGGCAGATTAAACTCCTACTTATCCAGACTCGACCCCAACAGACATATGCCCTGCATGTGGAGAGTCTCCGCACTCCAAAAACCACTTCTGCATAAGCCACATGCCTGCATAAGCCGAACATCTAAGCCCCTTCTCCCTCTGGTCCGAACTCGTCGAAACAGCACGATTTCTAGACCTGCCGTTAGATAACTTCGGTGACTTATGTTAATTTTAAAATGTCCCTAATTGGGTTAAAGTAGCCGCTACAACAACAACAGCAACCAGAACCATCTGAACCATCACACAGCCACATCAGAAAGGGAGTATTTGACCTTAAGGACTGTATTCAGTACCGCCTACAACAATCAGACAGCACGGCTTACCGACAGGCATTAAACGCCATTTACGCAAAGTACGTCAACAACTTCGTGTTCTCTTTTACAAAGAATGCCCTGCATGCAATGAGTCCCTCCACGAAACTAACTACCTCATTGTATACCCCCTAAATCCGACTCATCTAACCCCCTTAACCTCCGGTCCGCACCAGCCGAAATAGCACGTTTCCTGTACCTCTCGTTAGAATACCTCGACTCCTCAACCTAAGTTTGGTCTACCCTGCTCCTAAGCGAGGTTGGCAAACAGCTACAACAACAACAACACCTGTTGTGAATGGCTTGAAGGGAATATAGCCCCAACCCAAGGGATAAGAAAATCTCGATATACATCGCTGGCTCAATTTAAGTCTGCATATTTTAACAGGTTGAACTCTTACTTACCCATATATAAGTGCAATAAGTTCCCGCATGGAGCTTGCATGCCCACTAGAAGCAATCTCTGACCTTGGTCCGAACCCATCTTTTCTTGGCCCTCCATCGATTCACATTTTTTGCTTCTCAACAGTTTTAATAAACTATTACAACAACAATAAGAGCATGTTATAGTGAGCCGCTTAAGCAACCCTTTACAAGGAGTGTCGATTTTAAGCGCCTTGACTCGGTACAGAACCACTTTACAGCCCATCAAAAAGGATATTATTATGTGCATATATCAGTCAATGGATTTATTGAGAGAACAGTTCGGTGAGCAAGTAATTTCACGTTTTCAGCCGGTCGATTGGCCATCAAGATCGTGTGATATCGACTTAGACTTTTCTTTGTTTAGGTAGGAAAAATCTCAAGTCTATGTAGACAATGCCGCTTCGATTCAGGCCTTTGGAGCAAAACATCATGCGTGTCATTCGCCACTTAGCAGCCGAAATGCACGAACTCAATGGATGCACCATCTGAGACGCTGCTACGGCCACCATTTGAAAGAGATTATCTTCAAATAATAAATGCCAAAGAATGTTCTTTCGAATGATAATAAGCATTCCCCATTCAATTTGAATTATCTGAATTTTTTTCTTTAAGAAATAGGGAACTTCGAAATGGATCACCGTTTATGAATATCGTGCTTCGAAATAGAACTGATTGTTCAGATGTTACTTTTGGGTTCAACGACAACAACAACAACAACAACACCACCAACAATACAAAACTTTCGCATTTAATGTATTTGTTTATTTCTATTTCTGAATTTTTAAACTAATTGCATATATATAATGATAAATATGTCATTAGGATATTTAGCAAATAATTTAAATGCTCAACTGTTTTTATGTATGTACTTCATTTACTCTCGCTCGCTGCTTTTTTTTTTCTCTAAAAAGACTACACATTTGGTAGAGTTTGCTATTGAATATTTATGATTACAATTTCAATGTATTTAGTTTACAGTTGGAGTATATGTATATATATATATTTATATATATGTATGCTTAATAAATATCAAAAAATATTTAATAGTTTTTATGTATGTATGTATATATGTATATATATTTGTATTCATATGTATATAAGCCTTTATTTATATATAATATACTATATATTATTTTAATTTCTAATAACAAAATATACAGACAATAATTATAACATAATCCATTCACTTATTTTTATTCCATTACGCATGTACGCGTGTAGGCATATTTAAAGATTTACAAACCTACAAGCAGCAACAAGCGCGCTTTCATAAAATACATCGAAATGAAAATGTAATAAACATAAAACATGCAAAATTTACATTACACACATAATATATACTTATATCTCAAATAAACATTTATAAACGAATTGCATTTTAATAGTGCATAAATAACAGAAAAAAAACTTAACATTTCAACAACTATAAACTCGTTTTATATTACTTTAATATTGCTTTAAAATGTTCTTGATTTCGATCACTCGACTGATGCAAACAATAAATAATGTAAAGTGATTTGGAATAGTGTTTACAGATGCAACAAACAGATTCAACGGAAACCTTGTTCAGCTAGTTTACTTTGCTTTGGAAGAAATTTATTCAATCCAAGTAGTCCATTGTTTTGATAAATTTGACCACAGAGCAAAAGAGCGTCCAATGGAATTGTTCTTCGCCTTCTAATTTCTCACCGATGAAACAGGTGATATATTCAACGGTTGACAGCAGAAATGGTGGATTTGTCTGCGTAAAATTAAAGTCAATTTATGTATATTTATACTTTAATTAATTATATTAACACTTACCATAATCACAACATAGATTAAAACGGGCAAAATATCATCAGCTGCCGGCACGCGACCACTTGACATATGCAATAAGCTCATAATACTCGAAATGCATCTAAAAGTTAATAAAAAATAAAAGTAATTAAATAAGTTAACTGAGATTTTACAAATTATATATGTATGTATGTGCACTCAAAACGAAATTTTCTCATGGCTAAGTTAAAAAAAACATTTAGCTGAATTAAATTATAAACTGAAAAAAGAACAGAGTGCAGAGTTTTCTCATAAGAGATATTATTTTGATATTCAAAAAAACTTTTTTCTCAAAAAATTGATGGTTTTATTGTTTGTTCAGATCAATAACATCCATTTCAGACCATAAAAAAATCATGAATCATCTCTGGTTAGCGCAATCCATTCATCGTAACTTTTGCTCTAGCCAGATTTTCAACTTTAAACCGCATCAAACAGTTATACGTGAAGGTTGGAGAGGCTTTTAAACAATAAATCCGATCCCCAGTTGGGACAGTTTTGACGTAGCCTTCGCGGTGGAAATGTACCTAATCAATCAGTAAAGCTGATTTTTAGATCAAGTTTTCGTAGTGAATTTTAATAATTCCAATGCATTGTTGAAGCGTTTATCGTTCCATTTTTATTACTGGCGTAATTTTTACTTGTCAAATGCAGCTAAAAAGTGAGTTCTACCGGAACAAAATACCACCTCTTATTGGCAAACCCTTTATAATAAATTTGAAATTCTCCTAACAATGAAGAAATGTATTTCTTTCCTACCTGATTACGCATTGTAATTTTTCTCGCGGCGTTTTATATGCGGATATATATGAGAGCTGTTGCTGAGCAAATGACCAAGGAGCCTCGGAAAGATATACTTGTGGAATGCAAAGTGCTGGATGTGAGGGGCTAATAACGCGTTGTAACTTGCTGATATGCTCCGAGAGTACGCTGTAAACGTGTGTTTCAAAATATATACAAATAAAATATTTAAATGTTTTATATGTAAAATGCGGCAACATTCACTTACGTATCGCGCGATAAATCAGCATCTTCATTGGGAAACATCACCTGTTGGTAAAGACGTGTAAGTAGTATACGTTCAATTGACAGACGCGCTTCCTGTGCTTGCCATTCTGGCATGCCGTGTAGTATGCCGCCAGCTGAAAGCAATTCTTCCATCAAACATTCAATGAATTCCTCAATCAATTCAATTTTATCATCGGACACTGTAAGACGTGCAAATTCCTCCTGGAATTCAGCTAATTTCGCTTGGCGTTTTTCGAAAAATAGACGCACACATACATTCATTAAGTAGCGATTACATGTAGCACTTTCGCTACGCAAACGTGTTTCGAACTGTTCTATATTCTCCATCATTAATAGTTGATTCTGACGATATCGCATTAAATACTGTAAGTAATTCTGACGTTTTTGTATATCCTCTTGTAATTCTTCGAGAAGTTGAGTGTGCTGATTGCGTTCGAGCGTTGAAATACAACGTATTGCCTCAGAAACATATGAAATTTGTTGGAAATTTTGTAGGTTCAACGCCTGTGCCAGCTGAATTTGCAGATATGTGAGTAACGGTGAGGCATTGGTGTACTAAAATGCAAAAAATATTACATCAAGATATTAGTTATCGTTATTTATATGTGACATATGTATATATATATGTATGTATTTACCGTGGTATGGCGAAAATCGCCTGTGTGTAAATCAGTCTTTGACAGCACGGTACGTATTTTCTTTTTGATCACATTAAAAGCGACAGTTTTATCATGCAAAATGGTATTTGGTGATCTAAGAGAGATTACATTTGCATAAATGAGGAGTTTAATTTAGCGACAACCGACAAATTGTTTGCATTTTACTTACTTCGGCTCCGCCTCGGAATGTTTGCGTTCATTTGTTGATGACACAGCCGCTGCGCCGCCTAAGCCATTGCCTAAGGAGTCCGAATTTGTAGCCTCACTGGAACTGCTAACCTTACGACGATATTTTGCCAAAATATCCTCATTAATATCGCCATAATTTGCCGCTATACCAGCATTGGCTCCACCACTGTCAGCCCCAACGAGAGGAGTGTTGCGTGCACCGCCGGAACCACTGCCGATACTGACCATGTCGAGCGAAATTTCTGAAGTGTTTGCGCTGAACGACACAGTGCGACTGCTGGCTGACGTGTGCGGCGTATACTCTCCACCAGTCAAACTGTCAACACCATTGTGCAGATGCGTCGAATGTCGCGAGTGTGATTTGTTACCACGTCTGTGTTTGAAAATACCTTGTTTCAGCTTATTGAATATACCCGAATTACTATTGGCACTAGTTGAGGCATGAACCGCCAAATTTGGATGCAATACGCGTGCATTGCGATGAGAGGGCAGATGACGCGTTCCGCCGATTGTGCTCGAACTAGCGTCGTTTTGACTACTGCTATTCTTGTCGGCCGACGCATCAAAACTGATGCTTTTCGGTATAGCGCCGGTGGATTTGCTCGGTTTCTGAGCGCAATTCGTGTTGCCCGCCGCAACGCTTAAACTCGAGGTCAACATGCCACCTGTACCATGGCCGGAAGTACTATTCGTGATAGTAGAACGCGGAGTAGAGGTTGTCGCGTTTTCATTCGTGCAATTCTCCGTATCATTTAGTTGCAATCTCTCGGTTTTGGCGCATAGCAGCATAATCTGTTGTTGTTGTTGACTTTTGTCATCATCTGTTTGCGGTAAAGTGGCCATCATTGTTACACGCTTTGAAGTGTCAATGACATTGCTGATCATTAACTCGTGATTTTCATAATTTAAACTTTGGTGACGCCGTAATAGCGGTATCGATGCATGCCTGCCGCCCGATTCGGCGCGTCCGTCATTTTTCATTGCCAATATACCGTTGCGTCGGCCATCGAAACTGGCATTGCGCGCCTCATTCGATGCGTGACGATGTTCAACATTCTCTTCTGCAAGCAAATCGACAAGTGCTGCCTCAACTTCAGCATTACGTTGCCTTGCGGGGATTGGTGGCTTCTCCTCTTCGCCAAAATCACTAAAATCTATAAGATCTTTGTGGCTATTCGTCGAGTTACTATTGTGTTGTTTCTTTTTCTTTATACCACCTTTGTAATGGGACTTTGGTGGCTTGCTCGTACACACACCCACAGAACCAGCGGCATCCTCAAATGTCACACTTTGATTTGAAATACTGCTTTCAGCTGAAGTTTGACGACGCATGCGTGGTGCACCCAAAAAAGCTTCTTTACCATCGGCATTACCACTTTTATAGTCTTGTTGGAAATTATTTTCGCCACTATACTGATTGGTAGTGCGCACTGAACTACGCGCCAAAGAGGATAGACCGCTGTAGTGCGCAGTCGGGTTTTCTTCGGCTTTGACCGATGCCGCAGCTTCGTCGTATAAATTTGCCGCATCATAAAATGCTGAATCTTCTTGAGAATGATCACTACTACCGCTACCATGACTGCCATCACTTGCTATAGCGCCACCCTCCTCCGTAGCTGCATTGCCAATCGCAGCTCTGGCCACATTTCCAACACCGTTTAGGCCATTACTTCGATTACTATTTGGTGTGTTGTGGTAATTTGGTGTGGTTGCAGCACGGAACGTTCGACCATTGCGAGCTGTGTAAAACGGTGAGTTTGGTATGCGTCGAGCAGGTTGCGGTGCAGATATCGCAGCAGCTAACTGATCGCGCTCCTGTTCGGATCGTGCACCTGAATCGGTTATGTCCGATTTGGCGGTTATGCTTATATTATCATCAGTATCTACTTCGGCAAATTTTTCGGAATCACTGGCCAATACATCAGTACTCCAATTGGACTCGGAGCGTTGGTCTGATACATCGAGAAAAACCGGGCGCATGGCACCCGCACCAGCAAGAACATCGAAATTGTTATCACCTGGCAAAACGACTGCTGAGGGAATAAGTGGTGTAGAGAAATTACGATCCCGTTCGCGTTCACTGGCATCAACCGTCTCAGAATCGCTGGCCAATACATCGGTGGACCAAGTGTCCGATATGATTGACACGGTTTCATCACCTTCGAATTTTTTGATCTCGAATTTACAAAATTTATCCTCAATATCAGATCGTGCTTTCGATATGAGCTTTTGCATTTGCGGCGTTGGTAGCGCATTATGTACCGATTCACCGTCGGTTACCTGTGAAGAGGGCGTATCGCGACCGCTAATATTTGGCGTGCCACGTCCCGATACATTCGCCGAGACCATATCGGAAAGATTGTCATTTTGATCGTTCTCCTCTTCCAATTCAAGTGAACTAGTGACCGAGTGATTTGATGGCGCTTCACTAACTGCTTCCAGATTGTCTGAATTACCAATGGAGGCATCATCATGCGACAGTGAGAAACGCGTAGTCTTCGAATGCAACGGACGTAGAACATCGCTCATGTTGTCCATGCCATCAAAGCCATTAGCCACTGAGGATGACTTGTCAATGGTGTTATCTAAATTAACACTGCCAGTATCGACGAGCAAAGCCTCACCATTGGAAATATCCTGGCCTATGCAATTCATCTTCAGCACTTCTTCTTCAGTGAGCGGTTGCAGTTTGTGCTCTTCACCATTGTAGATGCTAAATACAAGTATTGGTTCGTTCTCGAGAATATCATTCATATTGATCGTACGTATTGGCGATGAACTATTCGAGCTAATGGATGCGTTTGAGGATGTTGCCGCGCTGCCATTATTGCCATTATGATTATCATGTATATGAGCTGTGCGAGAGAAATGTGGAAAAATTAAATAAATTTACAACAAAATTATTTCATCTATACCAGTTCTAATAACTACTGAATGTGAAGCAGATTAGAGCTTATTTACTGTACTTAACTAATCGAGAGTTCGCAGAATATTGTGAAATATTATATAATAAATAATACATACTAATGCTAAAGTGCGATACTGAAACTAATAAAAGTATAAAATAGTTTATTACGCTTGTAGAAAGTTATCCTCTTCTTTAGTACTGTAAATATTATCGTTAACACAAATGCAATAGACAGAGCATACGTTAGTGAGATTGCAACTTACCTTGACCCAGAGACGCGCCATTCGTTAATCCATTACCAGTAGTTGATGCTGTTGCGCCATCGATTCCGGTACTATTATTTGTGTTAAAGCTCATACTCTTGGCGATTTTATTCTTTGTCACCTTGCTAAGACCCATGAAACCTTGTTTTGAGCGTTCTTTAGCGCTGCTGGTCTCTCCATTTACTGCCGCACTGCCAGCCATATCATTGCCATTTGCATGCAAACGTTGATTTGCTTCTGATGATTCTGGCAAATGGGAAAGTACTTTCTGTAATTTCGTGCGCTCCTCCGGTGGCGGTTCAAATTCATCGCTCGCCATAAGTATACGATAAAATTCAACAAAGTATGCGAGTTCGCTTTGTGTGCCCAGTAAGTGAGAGCGATCGAAATCACTTTGTTGTGACAGTATGGCGACAACATCTTCGCCCGATTGACTCATTAGCAATAGGTCGATTAAATTTGAAACCGCATTAGCTTCGAATTTAGCATGAATTTGTGCGAATTTCGCATCAACAACATCGTGTTTGGCTAATGCGAGCATTTGTATGATTTGGCCGATTTGTATGAGATTAAAACGCACTTGCTCGGGTATGGGTGCATCAATGATGCCCATTATGTCCGGACTAACAATGGCCGGACATATAAAATGTGTGAATACCATATCGGTTATTATTTCGTTGATAATTTTATCGGAGAAATGCGATTGCTTTAGGTGATGGCTCATGGTTTGCACTAACCAGCGCAGGGTTGAGGGGAAGAGAGACCAATTGAATGTTAAATTATCAATAAACGATTTAGCTAAAGCATGTAATTTTGTTATAGTATCTTGATGGAATTTGGTAAGGTTCTCTTGGTAGTTAAGCGAATCTTCAGCGCCAAATCTGAAACAAAAAATAAAAAAAATTTTTATTTTGAGTGGCAAGCAATAGCAGCTAAATTAAGTTTCAAGCAAAAAATTTGGTATACTTTCGATTAAAGTTACACTCAACTCACCTTTTCAAGCGCTCTTTGCTGCTGAAACTCTCCACAACTTTGCTAGGATCCACATCTAATACGCTATCAACATCGCTCAATACCTCCATGATTGGCTCAAATAATGCTGCCGTTAAAAATATTTTCGCCGAAAACATGGACTCATTCAAACGATGATAGAGACGTGCGAAAGCCGACGAATTAGCGCGCAATAAATTGCGTGGATTTTCGCTAACCACAATTTGAATTTCGATCAGTTCCCTCAAAAGTTTCAAAATCATTTCCACATCTTTTGTATTGATCGCATTACCATAAAGGCCTGCTGATATGGTATGTATTACGTAACTGAGATGCTGTGGTGTTATCTCAGCGATGCGATCGCCTGTTGCCAATGAAAGTGCAAGCAGATATGGCGAGCGGTAGAGGTGATTGAACAGCTCTTCATAGGAAATCGCTTGCTACAAATTAATAAAACAGAAAAAGTAGTCTTTATGATTATGTTACAAAAAAAGAAAACCAATAAAAATGTCAAGTAACCTCATAGTCCAACACTTTCTTCGCATCAATATATTTAGCATTCTCATAATTTTTAGCACGACGACAGCAAATACTGGGGCCCACCTCAGGACGTGACGTGATTAAATCGTTAAGGTTTTGTCTTTGTTGTGCACAAATGTACGCTAACTGTAAATGCAGAATGACAACAAAATGTTGTGTGAAGAACGAACACAGGCAGAAAATGTTATTAAAAATTAAAAAAAAAAATTACCTTTGTTATGGCAGCCGAGTTTTCGGACAGCGACGCTGTAAATTGAGCGAATGCGGCCTGCTCTTGCTGTATAAACAATTGTTCCTGACGCAAAGTGCGCGCCAGATCCATGATCTCCAAGAGATTATCATCGGAATTTGGTTCCATTTTGTGGCTTTAATATCTTTAGATTTCCGCTTTTATTTAAATATCTGTTCAGAATTTATAGATTTTACTTGTACAACACTGCCATTACATCAGTAGCTAAGCAAGATACAGAAAATAAAAAATAAATATAACATATTATATGTGCATATATATGTATGTATGTATATTGTGTGAATGTAGATATGTATATATGCGCATATTGTTAGTTAGTTGCGTTATTTTGTAAACAATTAATCAAACTATTAAGCATTTAAGTGAAGTGCTGTGCAATCGGTGTGCCTACATGTTAAAGGGAATTTAATTTTGCAAAATAATACAGAGCGAAGAGTAAAACAAATTGCATAACACCCACTAAATTGTTCATATAATTAAGATTATTAACAAAATGACAAAATTCAACTTTGGTTATCTATCTATCTCATTAGCTCTACTCGGTAAGAGATATCAATAAGAATTTGCCAGTAACAAAATATCAAATTTAACTGGCTTTTTGCCTCACCAAAATAATTGATAACTATTGTTACTGTCCTTCAGCTATTTTTCTGATGCTTGAGTTGACACCCCGTATTTTTAGCATGGAAACGAGAAGGGCGTTTATGAAATTTCCGCAAATAGTTTTAAAATAAAAACTAACTCAAATGATAGTAATAATTTTTTTTACCGTCCTCATTTACAGAGATTATTAGGTTTTAATATTTTGAAAATTCACACAATTTTTATTTTTTTTTTTTTTTGGCAGCTTTATTTCTTGTTATTCAAAACTCATTGGGATCAGCAACCTGTTGTTGTGCTACTTTGCCTTGATAAATTGTATACTAACACTAAAGCTTGCTTTCGTTTGGAAACTTAATCACAAGGTCGTTGATAAGTGACGATTCAAACACGTTTACTTAAAAAAATTCACAGATACTACCACTACATACATGTATTCATCTCACACATATGCTTTTACTATTTAATTTAGTAAGTCACTATTTTTTACTTGGCATTTTTAGCATATGTTGGTAGGTTAAATGTGCAGCTACAATGACAACACGAAAAAACATTTATTTATTTATCATTATTTCTGTAAATGTTGCAATTTTTCACAAATATTGACGCATTATTAGTCAACATGTGTTTTCCTTTTTTATCTATTGTATTTATCGCAAAGAATATATATACATGCATACATATGTATGTAACATTTATGTAAAAAAAGAAAACACAAATGAATTGTTTTTAACTAAAAATATTTCTTATGAAATTTACAACATGAAATTTGTGTATAGCAGGTATGTTCATACATATATGTAAATGTACCCACTTAAAACAAGAGATTGAAAGGTATATTTAAACAACACTGAGTATTTAGCAAATTAAATATATCAAAAAATAAAAAAGCAAAGCGATATAGGCACATACTAATTTATTTGCCTTTAAATAAACCGTATTTTCTACTTTGCAATTTTGCTATATAGTTACATATGTATGTATTAAAAATTTTAAGTCATTCCTATGACTACATAATTTACATGTGGTCCCAATTCCTTACATACATACACATTGCAAGTACATCAAAATATAAAAATTTAATTTATTTACTTGACGTTAAACATACATACATATAATATATACAGTTTACAGTTGGCTAACTTTGTGGTATTTTATAATTAGTAACACATTTATATGTACATACCTATGTATGTATGTAGCACAAATCTATAAGCTAAAAATTCGCAAACATTTTAAACGATTTGAACAATAGATGTAAATACACTGACACAGTCGCAATATAAGTTTCAAATTATTATTATTCATGTACAATAACACTGTTTAACTAAGTAATTTGTTGCATGGTAGGTTCAAGTGGCGAGAAGAATGCGGATCCCAGACATGGCTTTAAAGAGTAAAATAAACAATAACTAAATGAAGTAACCTAAGTAACATTTTCGCAAACATACCTTACCAACTTTGAAATGAGGTAAAACTTGTTATTGCTTTGGTAAGAGAAATTTTGATTAATTGTATATGTATATGTGTCGCAAGTGCAAAAAGAACCATACTGGGAAACTAGAAAATCGGTGTTTTGCACCAAATGGCACCAGAAAATTACACGACTTATGTACAACAACTGCAACAATAACAATTTGTATTTGTATACAAAACAATGTATATATTTTTCTCATAACATTACAATGTATGTATGTATATACAAATTCAAACAGAAAAACCCGTTTTTACTTAAGATTTCTTTATGTGAATACAACAGCGCAGATGACAAGTTTAGGTAGATGTGTTTGTAAATATATTTTTTTTTACTATATCGAGTTATGAATGAACATAAGCTATATATATATATATATACAGCTATTTACGTATATACCTTTATACATATACCAGATAACAAACAAGCAAACAAACGTTTCTACATGTATACTTTAATGCATATATGTGTGAACATATTAAATACATATACGCTCGAAAGAACAATATCAACTTTGCAGGTATAAAACGTATTAACGCGCGTTACACTTTAAAAAGCATTTAAAAACTATATTTATTTAACTCTGCAAGCTTTTTACACTAATTTTTTTTTTGTCTAACTGTTCTAAAAATCATCTAAGGTTGTAGGTTTTTTCCACAGCGCTGCAGCACACATTCAATTGCACAACACTTTCTCTAATCTTTGGAGTTTTCTCTCAACCTCAAACTTACATATTTTAGTTCTATCAGTTTTATTTTAAGAAAATACACATTTTAATAACACCAAGTAAACAAACAACTGCAGTTTTTAATAAATCAATTGCTCATTTTGCAAAAGCCTGCAAACGAACCGATGGTTTTGACAGATAATAGCCAGCCACAGAGTAGACAAGTTTCTTAAAAATTATGTTCAAGTAGAATTGAAACAGGAACAAAGTATATTCGTAGGCTACAGGGTGTACGCAAAATTTAGAAAGTTTACTGTAATATAAAAAAATTGAAAATAAGTAATTTTGTAATACATATATAAGGAATATTGTGAGAACTGATAAAATAATTACAAACATTATTAAAAATATTAACTTAAAACACTGTTACGAAAATTTCTTCTGATTTTTAATTAACTTATCATAATTAAATAGTTAGCATACATTTATCGAATTAAATTTTTAAATTTTCAGTTTGTTTAATAATATATTTAAAATTAATATTACCATCTATATAACTATATTGGGAATTATATAAGTATTTAACATTAAGAAATGACTTTATTTAAATTTTTGTTATGTAAAAATAAGTAAGTGGATAATAATTATTTGCAGTTACAATACCTTCAAAACACATATTTACATTACTAATTATTTATAATTATTATTTAGTTAAAAAAATTAAGTTAAAGTAATAAAATAACGAAAACACAAAGAAAAAATTGAACATTTTTAGGTATGCAATATCTGTATCGGGGTTTTAATAGCATAGGGATGTATTTTGACAACTGTCAAACTTAACAGTCAAACCAAAAATGTTTTGTTTTAGCTTAAAGTGGGGCATTCATGAAAACAGATCGCTTAACAACCACATAACTACCTTAAAAATGGTGACTCAAACGTTTGACTTCCTTACGGCACATTGTAACGTATTTTGCATCTGGACTTACATCTTCATTTCCGTTTTTATTGGCTTAAACACCGTTTACCCTTCTTGTCGCTCTTCGGCACCAGTTGCCAACTGAAACTAGGTCGCTCTCGACATGATCCTTCCATCGGAGTGGGAGTATTTCTCTTCCTCTGTTTCCACTAAAGGAGGTATTTCGTCTTGCCCTCAATTAAATTGCTTAACGTCAGTTTACACAGCCGTATAAGTTTTGCGGGGATACCAAATTCAGACATAGCGGCGTTATGGCAGCTCCTCTTCGTGCTGTCGGCTTTAATATCGACGAAGAGCTGGTGGGTGTCGATCATCTTTTCACGGGTCTTTTCCAAGATTTGGCGCATGGTGAATATCTGCTCAGTGGTTGACTTACCGCTTCTGAAGCCACACTGATAAGGTCCATTCAGTTTGCTGACGGTGGGATTCAGTCTTTCACACAATACGCCTGACAGGACCTTATATTCGATATTAAGGTTTATCCCATGATGGGCTCACATTTTTATGAATTGGGCGGAGCAAAATTAAATTCCAATCGTCGAGAATGCCTTCAACCGACCATATTCTGCAAAGTAGCTGTTTCACGCACCTTGTCAGCTATTCAACGCCATGTTTGTTGTTCTTTAGGCAATCGCTATTCGAACCTCGTCAGAGTCAGGCAATGGAACGTCTTTTCCATCGTCACCGTCTGGTTCACCATCTTCGGGTGTTCCAATTTCATTGCTATTCAGCAGGCTGAAGAAATGTTCCCTCCATAAATTCAGTATACTCTGGGGATCGATCACTAGATCAGCTCTTTGCGTTCTATAAGAGTCCGCTCTGTTCTTGAAACCCTCTGTACGTCGCCGTATCCTTTAGTGGAATTCTCGATCTTTACCCCTGTTGGCTAGTTCCTCAAGCTCTACCTACTCACGCATCTCGGCCACATTCTTTTTTTTTGTCTGCAAATGCGTCTTGTTTCCCTCTTCAGTTCCTGGCATCTAGCCCATTCCGCACGTGTGCTGCTTTCCCTCCACTGCAACACGGCAGTCTGCATCCTAGCCAGCTGTTGTTTTTGTTTCCCTAGCACCTTTACCCCACTTTAATATTCGTTTTAGCAAATACTTACCAATTACTGATTTTTGTGAGCCATGCTAATTGGCAACGCTTTTTGTTGAGAAATAAAACAATATTTGTATTTATTTCATAATGAAATAATTAAACTTCATTCGGTAGTATAGTTTATTTATTCATTTACATATGTATTTGCCACCGTTATTTTAGAAGCCACAATCGATTTGATTGCATTGAAGTCCATTAGGCGTCCGGCTTTTTTGGCTAAAGTTAACAACTTGCTTGTTTTTTGCTTTTTATAGAATTTTTGTAGTAAATTTTTGTTGTTGTTTTTTTTTTCAATATTTACTGTTATTTAATACACATTTATAGTGAATTTAATAATAATAAATGAAAATTCATATTTTCATTGCAATTTCAGATTTATAATTACAATTTGATAAATGTATGAATGATTACTAAAAATATATGTATATATGTATTATATTTAGTTATATTATGTATTTTGCTCGTGAATATATAGTAGTTTTTGTTTGACGTTCGCTTTGGCTGTTCAATTTGCCCCATTAATGACTCTCATGATGACGTTCGTAGGTATGTATGAATGTATTATAGTTATGTGCGTTTGCTTATAATTATACGAAAATGCTTATACACACAAATATATTCATATATATATATATAAGTAGTATTTATATTTTCATTTCATTTGCAATTAATTCTAATTATTTTCATAAATTTTTTGTTTTTTTTTTTTGTTTTTCCATATTTTACGTAAATATTGCAATCGATTTTGGAATTACTAATTAATTTTCAATAATTGCTTGTACAATACTTTACTCTAACTTTACCCACTAAAACTAGTTACTTTTGTCTAAATTTTATTAACACAACACATATAATTTTCTGTTTTTTTTTAACGGTGGAGAAAGTTAAAAATTTAATATAAATGCAAACATTTTATTTTGTTTGTTTGTTTGTTTGTAAATAATTTATATTGATTTGATCTTATTTAATGTATATTATATTGATTTCTTTCACATAAATGTTTAACTTTTTTTTTATTGGAAAGTCGGTAAAATTTGCAACATTGATTGTTCATACGTTTACTTATTTACTACAAGTTTGAATATTTTATATATTTATTTTAAGAAATTAATTTTTTTTTGAATAAAAACAAGTCTTAAAACATTTTTTTTTACATTTATATTATATGAAAATTTTTGTTACGAGCTATGGATAACAATAAAATGTAATGCTAAACAGCTTTATGAGAGAATGTCGTCCAGCGACTTTAAAACTGTGAATATATGTATGTTTAGTTTTGCATACATAACTGTTGCTTGACAAATATACATATGTTAAGAACTATTTTTTTTTTGTTTTTATGGAAATTAGTTAATATTATTACTCAAAATGATGACGTGACATGCGGTAACCTATCACTTATTGTTCAACTAGGGGCTCCAGTGATTTCGGATGGGTTTCTGCATGTCTGTTAAATTTGTATAGTTCAGTCATCTGATGAAATATTAATCTAGCAACATAATTTAAATTTTAGTTTTTGTAGTTTTTTAGTGGTTTCGTATTTATTTTAATTTTAAATTTTCATTTTAATTTTTTTTTATTTTTAATTTTATTTAATTTAATTTAATTCAATTTAATTTAATTTAATTAAATTTAATGTAATTTTTTTATATATTTTTATCCCGCAATCTTTAAATTTTGTATGCGCTTAGAGATAAGATTTCTAGCATGACAATAATAGTGAGCATGAAAAATAACGAAGAAAAATAATTTTATTAATTACTATTTAAAAAGAAAATTATGTACCGAACCAATTTAATTAATTTTTGTCTAGTCTTTTAGGTAAATTGATTCAATAAATTTGGTTTTTTCTTTATAAGCATTTATTACTAAAATAATTGTCGTCAATTAAATGAGAAATATTTTATAACACTTTTTAAACAGGTTACTCATACGCCCCAACACACTGTTATGCTGTAAAACCGATGAAAACAGCGACAGCTAGATAGCGAAAAAATACCTCTCGATTATTATGTAGATTTAAGAAATTAAACAATCTTTTATTTAAAAATCTTTCACGCTTCTTATGGGTTGTATTACTTTTCGACATTTCAAAAACACTTACTAACTGGAGAGCGCTTTGCAGATACTAACAGTTTCAGTTTTGAAAATAAAGATTTTTTTATTTCGAAAATATTCAACTATTTTTGTTGTTGTTGCACACGCGACGTCATTCAGTTCAATATCATCTAAGTGAAAATATAGAAAACTAGTTGTTTTAACTGCTATTATACGAGGCAAGAGTTTAAACATTTCGTTTACTTTCCCGTATTTCGTTCTGCAACGGTCATAATTTGGTATTTTCAGTTACGTTCGAAGGTGCTGTTAGCCACAATAGAGGCCTGTACAGATAATGCTCTTCATATTAACTGACAATTCTAAAATA